TTCGCGTGATTTCTTTAATCTGATGTTGGAGAAGATAATAAGAGCCCCAGAACTGAACCGCTCAGGCAAAATACTTTGCAAGAGCGTACAATTGCTGGAGTATGCCGACGACATCGATATTATCGGTAAAAACAAGGACTACGTCAGTTCTGCCTTCCCGGGATTGGATAGAGAAGCAAAGCGAGTGGGTCTGGTGATGAACGAGGACAAAACGAAGTATTTCCTGTCATCACACAAACAGTCAGTGCATACGCGTNAAGATTCGGTATTGGATTCGTGGTAGGAGAGAGACTCCGTCGCCGAGTACTGCCGTTCCCCCCGGTAGACGAACGTTTAACCACAATCCGCATCAAATCTGGATTCTTCAACATCTCGCTCATCTGCGCCCATGCCCCGACGGAAGAGAAGGATGCGGCGTCCAAGGATCTCTTCTATGAGCGCTTGGAACGTACATATGAGCGCTGCCCCGGACACGATGTCAAAATCGTGTTTGGCGACTTTAATGCCAAGATGGGCNACTACGTCAGTTCTGCCTTCCCGGGATTGGATAGAGAAGCAAAGCGAGTGGGTCTGGTGATGAACGAGGACAAAACGAAGTATTTCCTGTCATCACACAAACAGTCAGTGCATACGCGTCTTGGCACCCACGTCNTTTGGCGACTTTAATGCCAAGATGGGCAAGGAAGGGACCTTTGGCGGCACTGTCGGCAAATTCAGCCCCCACGACGAAACGTCCGATAACGGACTGAGGCTGATCGACTTCGCCGAGGCCCAAAACATTGTAATATGTAGTACTAGGCTCCAGCATAAGAACATCCACCAAGCTACATGGCATTCTATGGATCGAAAAACGAGAAACCAAATCGATCATGTTGTGATAGACGGAAGGCACGCTTCCAGTGTTTTAGACGTACGTACACTCCGAGGGCCAAACATCGACTCGGACCACTATCTTGTTGTAGCCAAGATACGCACCCGCATCTNACTTTGAAATCTAACGGAGAATCACTCTTGCCAACAAGTGCTACTTTGGGCTGAGTAGGCAATTGAGAAGTAAAGTCCTCTCTCGTCGTACAAAGATCACACTCTATAAGTCACTCATCATGCCTGTGCTGGTGTATGGCGCGGAGGCATGGACAATGAAAGCATCTGATGAGGCGGCTCTTGNCAGCCCCCACGACGAAACGTCCGATAACGGACTGAGGCTGATCGACTTCGCCGAGGCCCAAAACATTGTAATATGTAGTACTAGGCTCCAGCATAAGAACATCCACCAAGCTACATGGCATTCTATGGATCGAAAAACGAGAAACCAAATCGATCATGTTGTGATAGACGGAAGGCATGCTTCAAGTGTTTTAGACGTACGTACACTCCGAGGGCCAAACATCGACTCGGACCACTATCTTGTTGTAGCCAAGATACGCACCCGCATCTCTGAAGCAAAGATTGCGCGCCCAACAATGCAAGGAAAGCTTATCGTCGAAAGAGACCTATTTGACGCAACAAGAAGAGAAAAGGCGAAATAAATGAGTGCGAAATGCTTGAGATGCTGGCCGACAGGAAGAACGCCCGAAAATTCTACCAGAGGGTTAGGCGACTTACGGAAGGTTTCAAGACCGGGGCGAACTCCTGTAANGGCGACTTACGGAAGGTTTCAAGACCGGGGAGAACTCCTGTAAGAACAACAATAGCGACCTAGTCACCGATGTCCAGAATATACTTAAATTGTGGAGGGAACACTTTTACAACCTACTGAATAGTAGCAGCGCTTAAAGTAGTGAAGAAGACGAACCCGAGTCGATGATGATGGAGTAGCAACAAAGCTGCTGGAGCTGACGGCCTGCCAGCCGAGCTATTCAAGTGCGGCGG